AGCCAGATAGTGCTCTGCCCATTCTCTGCAAACTAATTGTTGTTGTGGTCAGATGCTTTTTCTCTGCTGAAATATATTTAATGGCATTGGTAACATTTAAGCGTGAGCAGGGTGTGTGGAAAAATATCTGGTGAGTGCTGTGGATTTCTGTCTTGGTGTGATTTAGTGTCATGGTGGCTTTGGAGTGGTGTTAAGACGAATATCTTATCTGGTCCTTGACGTCTGCAAGATGAACTTAGCTTTGTCTGAGTACCTGGAGCAGTGTGTATAACATCAGCACAAGGTATACATAGGCGACTGTTTCCACTGGCCGGGCATGATGCTGGAAACCCACCTCCACGTGTGCCATGCCGGCCTTGCCTCAACATATGTTAAAAGCTTCATTGGGGATCTTTGTCTTTGCAGTAAAAGTGAGAGTGATGGTATCGGGATAGTGTGATCGTGATTTAATTTGTGTAGTGGCAGTGAGTGTGGTGGTGCCAAAGTGTGTAGACAGTTATTCCGCAGTGTAACTCTGTGTGCTAATATAGTACACGCTCCTATGTGTACAGCAGGCAGAGCAGCTTCGGGGCTTCGCCAGGGGCTTAGATCCAGAGCGAATCATTGGTGCGACAGATTCAAGTGGAGAGCTCATGTTCCTCATGAAATGGTACGTATGTGAGTTGCACAGTGAGGCGTGGAGAAACATCACATATAGATTTAAAAACATTAAGGTCTGCTCACGAAGGCATGGCCCCCATCATGCCTTGTGTGCATTTGATGTGACAACCACTTTGCATGTCCAATGCTTTCATCCTAGTCTAAGGCACCAGCTCAACAGAGCCCAACAGAGCTGAAAGTGTCGCCGTATTCTTTTTTTAAACCAATTTACTTGTTTCCAGCCTGCAGATGTTTTCCTTTTGTGATAGGATTTCTCATCATTTACAGTGCTTTCCCACCTGATGGCGGACGCTTGTGTTGCGCCCGAAACGTCGTGATTTATTTTATACCTACGTGACTTTACCGAAAGAACAAAAGGGTATAAAGTGCTGGACTTGAAACACCACATAGGGGAAAGTTCTCTATTATACTGTAAATCCATCACTTCATATTGTGGAGAATTGCCCTCCCGCCACTATGCAGGACTGAGACCACGGAACATTGGATCATGATGCTGTGGCCTTGCTCGGCCAAATGTGCGTATGCTACAGGAAGACGTGGTTTGGCTTATATATTGTGGTTCCTGTTTTTAAGATCCCTGCGAACTGAATCGGCATTGGGACTGAAAGATAGCATCTACAGTCCAGTATAATTTACGTAGTATGTTTATGGAAATTGTATAAACACTCATTAATAGAGTTTGTCAAACATCCATTACAGGACCACAGAGCTTGGGCAAATTATCAGCACTTGTTCTGGTTGCCTTCCCAATTGGTTTTCTATGCTTGTGAATAATTTTCTCCGTCTGTCTTTTGAGAGTGAACAAAACCGTCCGTTACACATTCTAATGAACATCTGTGGAAAAAGAGCTTTATAGCTCATCGTATTCTTCCAGTATAAATAAATATTCTGATTGTGATAAATTGTTATTCACTGAATTCGCTGAAATGGCGTGCCATTGTCATCCAGGGGAAAAGAGGCAAAAGAAGGGAAACAAAGGCAAAGACAGAGAAAGCTCTTAAGCCTGGACTTGAACAAGGGGGATATTGATAACACGGCCTGCATGGGCAAGGCAGTCCCAGACATTGGATGCAGCAAAGGAAAATAATGTTGCTGTTTTGTCATGTGACCACATATAACAAGTAACCGGTTATGGGCTTTGCCCACTTTTCTATGGGTTTTAGTGTCACGTTCCGCAGGAGGTGCAGTACTTTGTTTGCTGATGATGTAGGCTATATATTTGTGAGTTTGAGACGTAAAGCAATGTCGTACTTTAGGCTGACCATGCCCAATGAGTAACATTAATTACAACTAATTGAGCTCAACACTTTTTTATTTCACAATAAAAGAAATCGGATTTTGGATTTCCCGAGTTATAAGCATAGGCTTAATTTAGACTTGTTTGGAAAATATTAAGAATGGATTAAAATGTTTACGTCTCTTTAGTCAGAAGGCCACCCTGCCTCAGTTATTTCCTTCCAGCCCCTGGTTGCTTTGAGATAAAAAACTTGTCCTTGAATATGGCAATGCCTGTAACGTGGCAGGGTATGCTTTGTGTGTTTGTGTGGTGGCACTAGCCTGGAAGAATGGAGTAGTCTATAAAACATATTTGATGGGTGTGTTGCAAAAACGTGGACAAACTCTTTTGTCAATCCACTACTAGATTAGGGTCTTCCCACACCACAGGGGTCATTTGACATTGCTTTACCACGCTGGTCATTGAAGGTGTGGGTAGCACAGATGTGAGAGTTTAGATATACAGTACAGGTATGGATTTTGCTGGCCCTGCCTTTTGCCATGCCATTTTATAATGCAAGGAGCCCTGCAGCAACCCGTAACTTTTTTACATATGCTGGTCACCCATTGAAGCACTCTTTAGGCTCAAGCCTCCTTAGCTTGTGAGATCTTTATTATTTGGTTGTAGGTAATAGAATACATGTATACATGTGCATACACTATATACATGTGTAATATTGTTTTGAGTGCTGATTTGCCATTCCCTGTCCAGGAAAGGGTCTGACGAGGCCGATCTCGTCCCGGCCAAAGAGGCCAATGTCAAGTGCCCACAGATTGTGATCTCTTTCTACGAGGAGCGGTTAACCTGGCATGCCTACCCCGCTGAAGAAGATGAAAAAAAGGACGATAACTGAGGGCAGCGTGGGGCAGCGATGAGGACGAGACGGAGGGGGGAGCGGTAAGAGGAAGAGGAGGTAGAATCAGCGGAGCACTAACCCAACATTTCACGATTTCTGAGTAAAATGCATTTGCCCTGAGTTGTTTCGTATATACAACATCAAAGTTGTGATTTAATCTTTAGTGATGATGATGATGGTCATGATATAGGATGTTTCAAATTTTAGTTGCATGGAGGTGACTGGGTTTCTGCTGCCCTGGTTGTATTCAGGTCAAGACACACTGGGGCAATTGTAGGGCAAGCAGCTGCCACGCCAACTATTGTAAATACTTCCATATCCGAACTCTGGACTCGCCTCATTGCTTCTCTCCATAGCAGGACATCAGGAAGGAAACTTCCAATAAGATGGCAGGTGGAGGTCACATGATTGCTCAAGCTTGTGCATTCTGTAGACAGTCCCTGCTCATTAAACTACGTTTTTCAGCAAATCTCCCGTTTTCATTGGCAAGGCAACTTATTACAAATTGACGTTCCAAGTTACGGCTTTTGGTAATAGCTCCAGTGTGTTTTGTGGCCTTGAAAAGACTGAGAGGGAGGTGAGGTTAACACGTAGTTAGCGCCCCACGTTGATGCCAGGTACACTGTCCCATCACAGGGGTATTTTTATTACGTTGTACCGAATGCATTCACATATAGTAGTCATGCTTTCAGTTAATTATGTAGACTGTGCTGTGTACATTTCCACAAACTTTGAGGGTTATTTTTCTTTTCAGATTGATTTCAGTACACGTTGCTTGTGGCGGTTACTGGCTGTATAAACCCCTTGTCGTGGTGTTAGTAACGAGTTGCTTCCCTAGTTTTGACATTTTAAATCTTTGTATGTTAGTGGTTTTTTAAAGAAATTTATCATCAACTTGTACCATTGTTTTGGTAGCTGTTAGGGAAAAAAACAACTGTCGTTACCTTGAACCCTCCTAGTGCAGATGTTTTCCAGTTGTGAACATTTTTTCCAGTTTTAAAGTACACCTAGGTAACTCTTTCATACCAGACAAAAAAATAAAGATTTCTTTGCAAAACTCTGCTTTAGTGTCCATTTTTCATGGTCCTGTGGAAACTTTATTTTTAACATCCCTTTATCAATCCTATAAATGGTCTCCCCCCCCCATAAAGTGTCTCTTATGGGGAGTTGTTTGTCCACACTTCCCAAAAGTCAGTGGTTTGGTGACGTTCAGATATCAATCGTCCCATCCAGTCGACATGTTTGAATGCAGGGCGCTTAACCCCCACCGCACTATCGCCGCGGCTCCGTTAAAAATGTGCAGTGTGAAAACACGTGTGTGAGATGGGTCTCGGAGCCCATCATGGCTTTGGGTAAGAAATGCAGCGACGACGAAGAAGACGAGTGGTGGTGCCCATCTGACAAACTAAAAGTTAACCGATGGCAAGGTCGCGTTCAAAAAAATGTGTATTTAAATTAAACCACGTAATCATTAAATTGCAATAAATACGACTGCTATCGTACTTGATCCATCCGTTGCTGATACAGGCCTCCCTAAGTTGTTTCCATCCTTCGCAAATCCACCTGGCTTCTGCACGTTCACATGTCGTCTCAAGTCGGCCAATGTTAAGCACACGTCCTTCCCCCGTACCTCCGATTAGCGCGGTTGGCTACGCACGGTGCAAAAGAAGTTCAACGTACTGTACACGGATGAAGGCCACCACCAAGCCACATTTTCATGGTCCTCCATCTAGTACTTGGACATGAGTTTATTTAATCTCCGAGGTGGGCGTATTCGAGTGGACGTTCTCTCCCGTGGCTGACCATTTAAACTCAACGCTCCACATGCCTTCCAGCCATGACACGTCCTACCCAAGCCCACGTGTCAACGCGATGTCTCTAAACTGCACGTTTAATCCAAGCGTTCCTCTCTCTCTCGTGTCTAATTGTAATTCCAACTTTCGAGCATGCCGCTCTTGAGTTTTCGATACATTTCCCCCCCTCCGATGTTTCACATTTAGGCTGCTCGTCGCCGACGAACACGTTGGTTGCGTGTTGACGTCACGTCTGCGTAATTACGTCAAACTTTCCATGTGACGTCATGCCGGCGACGTCCTCGCCCCCCACTGTGGAGGGGGGGGGGGTGTGACGACAATTCCACGCTACAGTAATAAGTCACCGCCGGCGCGTAACGTGATGTCACGGCCGCCTCGTGACGCGCCCAGCAACGCCCATTGTCGTGCCGTGACGTCTCCACCGCATGTGCGCGCCGTGACGTCCTGCGCGGCGTGTTTACGTGACGTCACGCCGGTGTGTTATTTACGTGACGTCATCAGCCGCGCGTGACGTCGTGCGACCGCTGTCCCCCCCCCCATACACACACACACCGGGCAGGCGGCGGCGGCAGCGGCGGCGGCTCTAAGCGGTGAGTTCCCCGCGACTTCTCCCACCACCTCATCCACGCTCGCCTCGACAACAAACACAAAAAAACCCCTTCGTGTCCGGCCGCGAATGTGCTTTGCGGCGAGGGTCGCTGGAAGTGGTGGGTGGGGGTGGAAGACGCGGGGTCTACCCCCCCCACCTACCCCCCCACCTACCCCCCCCCACCTACCCCCCCACCTACCTCCACCTACCCCCCCCCCCCGTGTGCGTGCGTCCCGCGCGGAACGTCCGAGGCGGGGCCCGTCATGGCGGCAAGCGGGGGGGGGGGGGGTTTACATTCTCCAGTCCGCTTCGTCCACTCGGGGGCGAACTCGCGCCGCCTCTTTGGGGCCCCCGAGCGGAGCGCACGTGACGGGGTGCGCACGTGACGGGCCGCGCCCAATCGCGCGAGCCCCGTGGCGGCCGAGGCTTCGCCTATGCGCGCTGCGGATTGTAAAGCGAGGGCCCAGACCGCAAAGCCGCGGGCCAGCCCCTGTACAGAGGTAGTGAACCACCGCCCCCCGCCGGCTGACATCGGGGGGTTCGCGACACCTGGGGGACCCCCCGACGATGAGGGACCCGCTGTGAGGGACCCTGCCACAAAGACGGGGAGGGGGGGGGGTGATTCCGGTCTCGCGAGACCGCTTGCAGGCACGAAGCGAACCCGCAGAGCCGCGCTCATCTAGACTCGAGGGGGTGCGGGACCCCCCTGTTACTCGGGACCCCAAAAATCGCGGGGAGCCTCGGCGACGCCTTTTGAAAGATTCCCGACACCGGAGGCGCCACTACCAGGTATCCCAGCCATCGGAATTCCAGGGACTGCCGACGCCGTTGACTCTTGAGAGACGACTTACAATCTGAACGCCCGACAATCGAACCCCAGATCCATGGATCCCTTTCTCCAGGGACCCCTGTATATAGGCACCAACAGGACCCCGTGCCCTCACTTAGCCCTGTCTATGGATAACATTATATATATTTGATACCACAGGAACCACCGATACCTAACAGGAACCCTGTGATCCCTATAAACAAGGATTCCAGAAGCAGGTACCACTGCCTCTTAGAGGCCGCTATCTCGAAGGACCCCTGACTCTTAAGGAGCCGTCTCTTAAATATCCCTGATATCAGGGACCCCTGGACCAAGGATGTTGGTCTCCAAACTCGAGACCCGAACTCCTTATACGGTACCACAGGGACCCCTGACACCTGGGACTGTTGATCCTTAGGGACATCTTCGCTCTGGGATTTCTGGTCCTCGGGACACTTGCCTCCAGGGTGCCCTGTCCCTGGAGATCCCTGACATCCCTGCCTCCTCCGCACCTCCTCCCCCCTCCCCGTCTCTTACATTCCCATACTCCAATGTTTCGAAGTATCACGGCCTGGTATTGCATATTCTTTCACGGTCAACTATACCTTTCGTGCGCAAGTGGTGTTGTTGATGGCTGCGGTGCTACGTGATGGGCGACAGAGGGGAGTGCGTCAAATGATGTGTTGTACTTCGCTTCTATACTCCCCCGTGTATGCTCCCTGCCTTCACCAATTCGTGTTGATCTGCAAGATGAAGTATGCCCAATCTGCGTGACGTGGGTAGGCCCTCATCCAGCAGTGGACCAATGAAGGGCTTTACGTGTGTACATGGTCATTACAAAGCCCTATCCATGACGGAACACGCGTAGGTGACTGGTTGATCGCGGTGTTACTCCCAACTGGGTGTTATGATTGGCAATTTGTGGCAGAGTCTGTGACCTGTGGAGGTGGTGTTTATTTTTTAGCTGAGGAGGGTGGTACACACACACACGCGCATATCTGATGTCCATGGACATAGCAAGTGTGTACGCAGAGTTAAATTGTATGCACACAAGGCTGTGTGTGAGGCCAGTGTAACTTCATCTGCGATGCCAACTTTATGATGCAGATTAATCCAGGAGGGCTGCATCAAGAGGGCCCCGCTACGTTTGGATGTTTGGAAAAGTTATTAATTCATGTTTTTGACAATGTGTCAGGAAACTGAAGAATCTGAAGAAAACCCACCATACACCGACACAGCACTGCCATCTCCTGATCACACCTTGCAGTCCAAGCCAATAACACCTTGTATTCCTGGTAGTATCCGATTCAATTACTAACCAGACTGAAATCTGCTTAGCTTGCGATATCTGTATGACATCACTTGCATTTTTCGTGATCTGGCCTATGCTGGGCAAATAGCATGTGCCTATCATCCAGTGTTTTGGAGGTGAGGGTTTGTGAATCATGCAGAGAATGGTGAAACACATCCGCAGCACGGCTAAGTAGCCAAAAATAATACAGAAAGTGGGTCTGTGAATCTGTATGTGAAGAGCTTTGAGCGTTAATCTTCTCGTATGCATAATTGGTTTTCTCCGGGTACTCCAGTTTCCACCCACACGAAGAAATATGTTCCTTAAACCTAAATTCGCCAAATATCGCAATGTAGCAGGTTCCTCCTAAAAAGTTTTGAGAATCAGTGAGGCTTTCCTGGATATATAAAAGGCATTGTTCTTATGTAATTAGGTGGATGGTTCATAGTTATGCCACTCCAAACTGTCTTTGTAAGCCTCTGGCATGAACTTAGAAGAAGGATTCCTCGCGGTGCTTTATTCACCTCTAGGCAAACACGCTGCTTAGAAAGGAATTGGCCAAACATTCCAAAGCTGAAAACAACTTTTTATTTGAAGACTTTTCTGGTTAAATAAATTACATTGTCATTCTTTTTGTGCATTGTGACATATATGCATGATATGGTGTATGGTTATATATTTGGTTTTTATATAAGGCATTGTCACATGTTTGTTCACATATATAATGTAAATAACATAAATGTTCAGGCTTTTCTCAGTCCACTGCTGGAGGTCTCCCAGCGCCTTTCCCTTTATAGGTTTTATTTTTACTTCTCCACGCTGGTCAGTGTGGGCTGGAGATGATGGGGAGGTGCCCAGGTTGTCAGCTGTGGAAGGGTAAAATTGTACGACTCTCACACCAACATTTTAATAACTAAGAGTGGATTAAACGTTTTACTGAATGGGTCATCTAGACTAAGAGAATGGCTGAATTAAATCTGCAGACGAAGAATTGATGAACATTCCACAGGTTGTTATCTATTAGACGAAACACATTAATAAATATACCGAAGGTCAAAATACTTCTTGCTGATTATTTCTCTTCACGACTAGACGCTGCAAATCTTTCCGAACGTCTTTATTTTATTTCAAGAAACGTATTTCCTCTTATCCATTACAAATTTGATAAGGTCTGTTTTTTGCTCACCACCTGACGTTCTGGGCCTTTGAGCCATTGTACTCAGCAACTATTTTAAAGCAAAGAAGAATATCCTCTCGACTGCCCGGGTGGCAACCCAAACATGCAGATATCCAGGGCCTAGCGCCACTTGGTAGTGAAGGAATATGAACCGCTCTTTGTTAAAATCGGCTGCTCTTGACGTGCGGTGTTGTTTGCAAATGTCTGGCATAGACCACATCACTCTAAATGCAACTGTTCTCATCGGATCTCTGAAGCTAAGCAGGATGGAGCCTGGTTAGTACTTGCATGCGAGACTGCCTGGGAATGCCAGGTGGTGTAGGCTTTGCCTGCATGTTGTGATAATAAGATGGCAGTGTCACTGTGTGGTGGATTTTCTCCGGGTTCTCTAGTTTCCTCCCACATTTTGTCAAGCACAAATGAATGGACTTTGCCAAACATCCCAATGTGGCAGGACACTCTTGAGACTCGGCGAGGCAGCCCTAGGTTAATTGTCATCACATCGGCATCACAGATAAAGTTACGTTGGCCGCACAGCCTTGTGTGCGCACACGCTCTCTCTCTGCGTACACACGTGCTTTGCCCATTCGCACTTGCCCTGTGTGTGTTGCCGCCCTCATCGGCTCAGGGTGAACACCACTTCCACCGCGGCTCTTTAATTCCTGGGTCACAAACTCCATGACCGTTTATTGTCTCTCCACAATTGCGTGAGAGGGGAGCAAAGTCGAAACTTGGACATGGCCGCGTGCTGTCTATTTTTTAAACCCCTTGTTATTTTTTATTATTGAAGGCATTCTCCCCCCCCCTTCCCTCCCCCGCCAGTGTATCGTCAGGGAAACGAAGTAATTCAATGTTACAACCCATGCTGCTAGCAGTGTACAACCTTGTGTCGCCGAATGTATCCTTGGAGCTGATGTCACCTTTGATAAATTTAATCTAACGCTCACGATATCGTACATGCAAGGATCTGTTGTGCTCTCAGTGTATGTGCATTTTATGCTGATTCTGCGTTAAGGCTAGCGGAGGGAACGAGGCTGTGCAAATGAGACGGAAATAAACGAGAATTGTTACAAATGAGACGGTCGACACGAGACAACAACACAGAGGGGATTCTTGAATTGAATCGCCATCAAAATGAATTAAGATAAATCCAATGGCAGGATGCCCTGGGCCTCGTGCCACTTGCGTTTTGTTCGCAAGATGTGTGTCGGTTATTGCAGAGGTCTGGTTTATTATTAATGCTATGATTCCACTGGTTTACTGAGGAAAGTTTTGCTGAGTCTCACGAGTCTTTTTCAGGATAGTGCCGCCAAGTTTTAGCAGTTTGGGAGTGATGATTGCTCCGCGTTTCCACATTTTTGCAAATTTGGACCATGGTGCCGGCACACAATGGCTTACTCTTGCGATTGATGTCACAGGATCTTTTAACATTCGCTGCGAGGCAGGATGGTGTGTGATTTTTTTTTTGCAGTTAATACACTTGGAGTATTCAGCAGGGGGGCCGCTGGATTCGAACTGTAAAACTCCGCAGCAAGCAGCGAATGATTTAGCGGTGGCCCATGTGGTTGTTGTGTGACACAAGGCCCCCTCTGATCGTGCTTGGTGTGCACGTGGCAGGAGATTGAAGTCCGCACGGCATCATGGGCGACGACAAGCCATTCGTGTGCACGGCTCCAGGGTGCGGGCAGGTGAGCGGGCATGCTCACCACACCGCATTCGCCACACCACGCTCACCACGCAACACTTACCACCATCCTCGCTGCGCCGCATACCGCAGAAACTGCAACCGCGTTCACCGCACCACCCTTGCCATAATCACCGCACTCGCCATGCTTGCCGCGCAATCTTTCACCACGTCACACTCGTTGCACCGCTGACACCACATCACAACACCTTAACCACGGCAACCACGTCACCCAATACCCACTGCGCCATAGAAATTACAGCATGACACCCACACGCACTGAAAAGCTCCAGGAATGTCACATCACACAGACATGAGACACGCTGTCTGAGATAGATGTGTAGATCTGTCCATGAAACGGACACACTGGCCCGTGAGAATAAGATGGATACCTGTCCGTCACACTTGATACTCATAGGGCACCAACGTGACACAGTGGTAACACTCGTGCCTCACAGCAAGAAACTTCTGGGTTTGATTCCTGACCCTGCGAATTCCTTGTGGAGTTTGTACGTTCTCGCCACGGTTCTGCCTGGGTTTTCCCCAGGCCCTCCTTTTTCCTCCCATAGTCAAAGCAAACGATACAATGCAACCGATATTGGCCAAACATCCCAGTGCCTTAACATTACCGACACCAGCAACATAGTCCTCTACTGCACAACTTGACAGGACCCTCCTGAAGTAGAGTCTTGAGACTCAATGAGGCTTTCCTGGTAAACAAGTGTAATAATGATGACTGTGATATAGACACACAATGTCTGTGAGACACACACCTGTAAGACAGACACATCTGTCCTTGAGACAGATAAACATTTGATTGTGAGAAAGACGCACCTGATTGTGGGACAGAGGAGCACCTGCTTGTGAGAATGAGACACAGAGACACACCTGTCCCCCACTACCCCCACCGTCTCCCCCCGCCCACCCGCCCACAGCGCTTCACGAATGAGGACCACCTGGCCGTGCACCGACACAAGCACGAGATGACGCTCAAGCTGGGGCCCATGCGCAGTGACAGTGTCATCGTCGCCGGTCAGACACTCGCACACATACACACGTGTGTGTGAGAGTCGAAGGGAGTTGGTGTGTGTGAAGAGGGGGTAGTGTGGGTGTGAAGAAGGGGGTGTGAGTGTGAAGAGGGGGGTGTGAGTGTGAAGAGGGGGTAGTGTGGGTGTGAAGAAGGGGGTGTGAGTGTGAAGAGGGGGGTGTGTGTGAAGATGGGGTAGTGTGAGTGTGAAGAGGGGGGTGTGAGTGTGAAGAGGGGGGTGTGAGTGAAGAGGGGGGTGTGAGTGTGAAGAGGGGGTGTGAGTATGAAGAGGGGGTGTGAGTGTGAAGAGGGGGTGTGAGTGTGAAGAGGGGGGTGTGAGTGTGAAGAGGGGGGTGTGAGTGTGAAGAGGGGGGTGTGAGTGTGAAGAGGGGGGTGTGAGTGAAGAGGGGGGTGTGAGTATGAAGAGGGTGGTGTGAGTGTGGAGAAGGGGGTGTGAGTGTGAAGAGGGGGGTGTGAGTGAAGAGGGGGGTGTGAGTGAAGAGGGGGGTGTGAGTATGAAGAGGGGGTGTGAGTGTGAAGAGGGGGTGTGAGTGTGAAGAGGGGGGTGTGAGTGTGAAGAGGGGGGTGTGAGTGAAGAGGGGGTGTGAGTGTGAAGAGGGGGTGTGAGTGTGAAGAGGGGGTGTGAGTGTGAAGAAGGGGGTGTGAGTGAAGAGGGGGTGTGAGGGAAGAGGGGGTGTGAGTGTGAAGAGGGGGGTGTGAGTGAAGAGGGGGTGTGAGGGAAGAGGGGGGTGTGAGTATGAAGAGGGGGGTGTGAGTGTGAAGAGGGGGGTGTGAGTGTGAAGAGGGGGGTGTGAGTGTGAAGGGAAGTAATAGTGCAGTGGTTTGTGCGCTGCGCTACGAAACTGGTGACAGTGGTCTAGTGGTTAGCGCGTTTAGACCTGAATTCGATCCCTGCTCGTGGCCAACATCAGTGATATCTGAGGTGGTTCTTTGCTTCCCACTAGCACGGGGGAGACAAACACAAAGGTGGCCGGGCGTGGTTCTGGCCACACCATCCCCTCTCGTGCGCTGTGCTCACCTTCAAAACTACTTGCCCCATCAGCCTGTGTAGTCTATATGGGTGACCTTTGTCTTTGAAAGGGTAGGAGTGGTGTCTGTGGCACGTGGAGGGATGCATTGGAAATGGAGGTGTGTTTTGCCGTGCTTGCTGCGCATTGCCATGCGTGTTGTATGTTGGCACGTGTGGCATGTATGTGCGTATGCGTGCACGGTGTGCGTGTAGCCGTGCAGAGCGTGTGTACGTCGAGGCATGTTTGGACTTGCACTGTGTGATGCGTGTTGGTGCACACGCCACTCATCCCCTCCGCACGTGAATCCTCCACATTTCTCCCGGCTCCTTGGCACCCTTTGGCTCACTCCCGACGTGCGCGCGCTCTGTCCGGCTGTTGCCTGGGATCAGTGCCAAGGCTCGCTCTCTCGCTCGGCACGAAAAGTGGAGTTCCCACCGCGAGGCGGAGGGAGAGGAACGGCGCTTGCCGGGGATAAAATTAGACCGCCGTTGCGGGAGTGAGAGTGAAGCTCCAGAGCCCGTTGCGTGCGTGCCGTGTGTGGGGACACTGAAAGCCAGGAATCATGCGTTGCTTGAATTATCCTAAGGACCTTTAAGTTGCATGCCACGGTAGCGAGATAACTACCTCGCCTGGTATACAGGAAGTCGAGGGTTCGATCCTGACCCTGACGCCTGTATATTTCATGTTCTCCCCGTGATCGCGTGGATATTTCTCCGAGTCCTCCGGTTTTTCCCTCCACATTTAGAAACATCTGTTTAAGTGTATTTGGCTGCAATAAATTTCCACGCAATAAGCCACTTCGTTGAGCTATCATTTGTAGCCAGGTCGCTTCTGAAAAAGCGCTATATAGCTCAGTGGGCCTTACCTGGTAAAATAAAATAAATTGTATGTTTAAAGAAGTTCAACATACATACATACAATCCTCTCAGCTCAATATCAATTACCGCATTTGCGACACGCGCGTTGTTTCACGTGCGCCAACATTGCCGCTCGTATATTACTCTTTTTAAAAACGCGTGAGTCTACGTGCTCACTGCCGCTCGTTTTTGTATTCACGTCCGTGTGTTCGTGCCACCGTCTCAGACCAGACCCCGACGCCGACACGCTTCCTGAAGAACTGCGAGGACGTGGGGCTCTTCCACGAGCTCACCGGCTCCTTCGAGCACGATCTCAAGAAGACTCCGGCCGGCGAGGTCGACACGCCTGACGTCCCGGCCGCCCGCCACGCCTCCTCGCTCGCTCCGCCACCGCCGCTACCAAGGGGAGGCGACACCGGTGGGGGTGGCGGTGGTGGAGGCGGTGGCGGTGGTGGAGGTGGTGGCGGTGGTGGAGGCGGTGGAGGTGGTGGAGGCGGTGGAGGCGGTGGAGACAGTGGTGAGAACAAAGATGATGGCAATGACGGGAGAAGAGAGATGCTCGCGGCAACCGGAGAGGAGGAACGGAACGCCCGGCAGAAGGTGCGTGCATGGGTGAGTTTGTGTGTGTGTGGAGGTGATCGCTTACAGCACTTGCCAACAGTCTGTTAAGGCGATACAAGGGATTTTTTCTTCGTGAAGGGAAGGAGCATGGGAAGGAGGATGAGTAGGTAGTGGCTCTGCCCTGTGTGTCCATTGAATTGGGGTGGAGATAAATGTTAAATTGAAATGTGTGTATCTTGTGTAGAGTTGTTTTGTCTTGATCAGACATCTCTTGGCTAGAGGTTTCCTGTCTTCTGAACACGTGTGTGTATCTTCACTCCAATTCTCGTCCCTTTTCCAGATATGTGTGTCTCCTGTAAATGTGTCGCCTCTTCTCGTCGTGTCTGTTTGCCTATCTTTTCACTCGATGTCTGTCTTTCTCTCTTGACTAGTTGTATAACTCCCTTCTCCAGATGTCTCTGGGCGTGTGCGAGGGAGGAGGGGGCTTGGGCCCCCCCAGGGAGCCAGCTCCCCCGGACGGCCCTGCCCCTCCCCTGCCCGCCCCTCCTTTCCGACAGGACGGCTCCAGCAGCAATAACAAGGTGAGTGGACGAGACCTGTGGTGCAGGGAGACCTGGGCGTCTCCTTGTGTTCTCCATATGTGGTGGCGAGATGTTAACTACCTCGCCTGGTATACAGGAGGTCTAGGGGTTTGATCCAGACCCTCACGCCTGCTGTATATTTGGAGTTTGCGTGTCTCTCTCCCCGTGGTCGCTTGAATTTTTCTCCCAGTCCTGTTTTTCTCTCCACGTTTAAAAACACTTTTTTTGAGTATAAACTTGCACATGATAAGCCACTTAATTGGGATATTATTTGTGGCCGGGTCACTTCTGAAAAAGAGCTGTATAGCTCAGTGGGCCTTTCCTGGTAAAATTAAAATAGTTTAGTTTAATATGTATTCCCTATGAACGACTTGTTACGCGAGAGGGCAGCTCATCCTAATGGACGGAGTCACATGACACATTACCCTCACAGAATCAGAATCTTTATTTAGACTGGAGGATTAATCCGACGCGCTATGAAGGTATTTTACACAGATGTCCAGTCGGAGGTAGATCAGAATGTTACAACAACAATTCAAAAACCGATAGGAGTGCAAAGTATAGGAAAGTTAAGTACAAATTGCGAAAGTATATATAAATTCCTACCGATTTTCAACAATAAATGCAAGCTAGGGCAAAGCAGCAAAGCAACAACAACAGTCTCAGACCACAGCAAGATAACACACAGCCCCTCAATAAGACTGAACCAGTCATCAAACCTCCTGATCGTCACAATTCACCACTCATCTGCATGTCGCTGTGTCTACGTGCTCCCCCTCCCCCCGTCTCCCTGTCCCCGGTGTCCCCGCGCGCCCAGGAGCCCGTGTGTGCCGCCCCCCCCCCGCAAGCTGCCGGCCCCACCGCCGGTGCCGGCGGCGCGGCCCTCCTCGCTGCACCTGCTGTCCCGCGGAGACGCCAGCGCCACGGGGGCCGGAGCCGGCTCCATCATCCCCCAGACTCTGGACTCTCCCACCGCCGTGTCCGTCATCACGCAGGCCCCGCCCTCCAACCGGCATATGGGGTCGGGCCCCGCTCCTACCCTCGCCTCTCCGCTACCCTCTCCTCCCCTACGCTCCACGCCGCTACCCGCCGCTCCGCTCCCTTCCGCTCTTCTCTCCTCCCTTCCACCACATCCCGTTCCTTTCCGCTATCCTCTCCCTTCCACTCCTCACCCCTCAATTCTCCTCCCCTCTACTCCCCTCTCCTCTTCTTTCCTCGCCTCCCTTCTGCTCCCCTCCGATGCCCTCCATTCCCCTCTGCTCTCCGTCACTTCGCTCCCCCGGCTACCCTCTTCGAGACACAAACAATACAGACGAGACAGAATGAACAAGACTGGACAAACGAGGTAGTGCTAATGAGGCAGAGAATAATTGTTTCTACGATTTGATCGCTACCCCAAAGCAATACCTAAGCACGGAGTTGCGGGGGTGGTTACTCGTTACGTTCCTGATCGACGTAGAGAATGCAAGACATCGGTCGAGGTAGAATGTCCTCACAGGGGGGCGGTGACGAAGGCCGAGCGGTCGCACGTTCACCAATTGTTCGAGTTTCCGCGGCTCGAGTCAAGCCACCCTGGTTAATACTGCAGCTGTACGAACCGTAAAGACACACGCTGTCGGTTTTACAGTGGACGTTACAGATCCCACGGCGTTTGGACAAAAGAGTAGGGGCCACGCACACGTGTCGACGTCACGGTCGCCAGAGTTGTCCGGCGTGATCACACCGCACGGCAACGTCGGCCCCTGCCGGCAGACTGAACGCCACCATGCTGCAGTCACCTTGCACCTCGCAGGGACCCTTGCCAACGGGGGGAATTCCCCGAGATGTACTTCACGGGAGGCGCGGTACAACTATCACGTGACGAGAGGGGTAGTGGGGGGGGGGTTTGACGTTGCTGATCCTGTGCCTCCCCCCCCTACCCAGGCCTCCCCTGCCAGGCCCCGTGCCCATGTACATGCAGCTGCCCAACGGCCAGCCGCTGCCCATGGGCTTCCCGGGGCCTCTGTCCAGCTCCCTGGCCCTGTCTCCAGGGCAGGGGCCCCCACACCTCCCTCCACCGCACTCCTCTGGGGTGAGTAGACACCAACGCATTCTGTACGTTATTGTGGTGGTGGTGGTGTTGTGTTGCGGTGGTGTGCTGTACACAACGTTCTTGCTGTGCGTTCCCTTGTGGTGGCGTGACGGCCACTGTGGCGAGATGTTAACTCCCTCACCTGGTATACAGGAGGTCGTGGGTTCGATCACGACTCCGACGCCTGTATACAGTGGTACCTCGGTAGGACTTATACCGAAAATGACGAATACCAAACGAATTTTCCCATAAGAAATAAAGGGAAAGGAAATAATCCGTTCCAGAGTACAAGAAATTATATTTTATATGGCATATTATACATTAATGTGGTTGTATACAATAATGTAGACACTACTTAGTACTAAAATGCATAAATTAAAATGACAAAAAACACGTGAAAATTAGCAGAGAGTTACAACAAGAGTTGTGCACTGAACAAGATCTACAGGCAGACTGAGGAGCGGCGCTTTGTTTCAGTCGTGAGCGGGGTCTACGCGGGTATGCGGTGACTCATCCCGACCCATACAAGTTCTAGCAAGCGCATCGTGTCTAAGCAAGACGTCGTACCCCAACACATTTTTCTCTTGTCAAACACGACGTATACCAAATTCGACGTATTCCAAAGAGGTCGTATACCGAGGTATGACTGTATTTGGACTTTGCATGTCTATCTCCCCGTGGTCACGTGGATTTTTGTCCGGGTCCTCCGGTTTTTCCCTCCACATTTAGAAACATGCATTTAGAGTGTTTGGCTGCTATACAGCTATACAGCCAAACAGTCTTCTGAAAAAGGGCTACATAGCTTAGTGGGACATACCTGGTAAAATAAAAATTGTTTAGTTTTTATAGGTGTAATCCTTGCCATTTTATTGTTTTTATCACGGTTACTGAGTGCACAGTGAGCCAAATTAAGTGGTCCGCAACAAACGGCACTATGAAAGTGGCAATAGATAACATTAAACGCGCATGTTTAACTGAGCGAAGTTCAAAAGTGCTGGGAAAAAAATAGATGCTGGGAGGAGGGAATTCCAAAGTCGAACATTGAGAAGGGAAGAAGGAGAATGATGTGACCTGCAGTGTGGTGGTAGTGGTGGTGGAACACAGTGTGGATGAGACGGAAGCGTCCAGTCTGGTTGACCGAGTCTTCAGGAATCATCGAGTGACGTTCTTGGGACCAGTAACCATGGTAGCAGCGATAGAAGAGTGATAAGGAGGCGGCTGATCCCTGGCGGGCACTTGAGTAATGAATCGTCAATCGACCTTACTGCTGTGTTCGTGTGTGCCGTGCCATTAACACACAACCCACACACACTCACACACCGGTGTGTCAATCCTATCACAACGGCATGTGTACATATAACCTTTGTTCTCGGTGCTGTACTCTCTGGTACAGCACACACAAGTTTAACCCTTGCTCTGTGTGCGTCATCGCATCCTGGTTGTGTCGCAGATGTCGCGGCCGATGAACCTCGTGCCCAACATCCCGGGAATCCCGGGCCCTCCCATGAACCACACGGGGCTGCCCCCACTGCTACCCCCCCAATCGGAGGCTAAGATGGTACATTCAACGTGCCTCACGTGTCCCCCCCACGTGTTCCCCCACGTGTCCCCCCCCCCCACCTTCCCCCACCGGGTTAACGTCCCTGTTAATTGCGTGCAGTGCGAACATGTGTGTAGGGTTTGCGCCCCGCCTAGACCTCATCATCATTATCATAAAGGGCTTAATAAAACGTGTTTATAAATATGTATACGTCATTTAAACTACGGGAAAGGTTACACGAAGGAAGTACCAACGTGCATTATTTATCCATAATACAGTTTCTTCTTTTTTGGGTTAGATCGCGTAAATATCTAAATGTGCCGTTAAACCCGCCACCATTATTTAGAATGGGAGTCGGATAAGGTGATAACTTCGTCAAAGTTTAAAGATGTTTTCCCTGAAAATGGGCTGGTGAAACAAATGCACAAAAGATATGGAGAATATTTTAACCATCTCAGATTTGCTGGCGACACGGTCGTTATGGCGTGGCAACAAACGTGTGGCCGGGCGATGTCCTGACTACATTGTGTCTCGTACCAGCGTATCCAGGCGCTCGTTAACAGCACTAGCCCAAAACGTCTGTAAGTATACACTGGCGTTCTTTGTCTTTGATGCGTAATCTGAGCCGTCCATAGACATCCTCCACTAAGCGATGAATGACACTTGTATTGTGTGTGTGTGTGGTTATGTACACAGTCCCACCTGTGCTCGCAGCATTGCAGCCAATGCAGATAGTTGTGCCAGTGCATTCCTGTGCATTCCTGTGGTAGATTATTGTTTACAATGAAGTGTCGTGTAAACCCACCTCCACCCACACGGCCAATTAGCGAAGTGTGTCACATTGAACAAAACGTGCCAATTAGGTACAACTTGAATTAGTTACCATGTCAGCACACCCGTCGGTGTGGAGAGCAAAGCCACAACATTTCCGACACATTCATATTTATGCGATCTAACCCAAAATAACTGACGAATAATATTGGTCACGAAAGCCTAGGTTGCAAAATAGATGATTATTGTTGTTATTCTTGCCTCTTTGTTTCACGAGGTTCCTGCTAAGTTTTTTTCCTGCAGTCAGGGGCAATGCTGCTGCTGCTGTGTGCCATCTCAATGGAGTAATTTTCAGGTCATGTCTCAGCATTGAGATGTCTGGCCGATACCGGGACACACTCTTAACGCGTTCCTTTCAGCTGACCGTTATTTATGAACAAAGCGTATTTAAGAACTCTCTTCTGTCTGCACATGCACACGTAAATAATATATATATACAGAATCATAATATTGATTTATACTGGAGGTATCCGATGAGCTATAAAGCTCGTTTTCACAGATGTCCAGGAGGGGCACGGGATAAGAACGTTACAACAAAGAATATAACAATAATTCTAGATTTGAAGCTTTCGTGACTGCAAGGATTCATACTCTTTGGTTTTTTTCGGTAAAGTCACGTAGGTAAAATAAATGAAAACAACTAAATTAAATCACGACGTTTCGGAGGCAACACAAGCTCCCGCCTTCAGGTGTAAACCGTCACAGCAAAATTTTTGTATCAAGTGAAGAGAGCTCTAAGATACCCGAGATTATATACAGGTTAAGGGGGGGGGGGAGGAGCCAGGAAGGGCCATGGGGGGCGGGCTAAGTTAAGCCGCCTTTTGTTATGCTGCAGGGGGGTGAGGGGGACGGAGAGGCGATGGCGAGCAGTGATCGAAAGCAAACACAGCCACCTGGAAGAAAGCAATTTTGCTGTGACGGTTTCCACCTGAAGACGGAAGCTTGTGTTGCCTCCGAAACGTCGTGATTTAATTTAGTTGTTTTCATTTATTATACCTACGTGACTTTACCGAAAAAAACAAAGAATATCACAATACGATAGGAGTGCAAAGTATAGGAAAGGTAAACAAGTAACTTTAAAATATATACACAATTAAAACTAAACTATGTTTTATCTGGCCAGGTAAAGCCCACTGAGCTATTTCGTTTTTTTGTTTCAGAAGCAACCCAGCCACAAATGATGGCTGGGCGAAGTGGCCCATCACGTGAAAATTTGTAGTAGCAAAATAATCTAAATAATGTAGATGCATGTTTATTTTTTAGTCCTTAATTTAATCGACTTTCTTGACCCTTATTGTCGAGCGGCGTTTGTTAAAGCAAAGCAAACTGTGGACACCGTTGTTGACCCCCTCCTGGGTCTCGAGAGGCAGCGTTTTAAATCCATTCGAGTCGGAGTCGGGCATCTCTTCCCCAGAAATACTCACGAGTGAAAGCTCAGTGTCACGTTGCTGGCAATTAATCTTAATCGTTAAAAGTAAAATGAAATGTTCCTGTCACCATTTTCGATCGGTTGACGTGTTTCGTGATGTACAGGGTGGCCCGAAGGTTAGTTTAGCGAGTCGGGGATGACATTAATGATAAGTCAAACTTTATTCCGGTACACTAACCTTCGATCTCTGACGTAGGGAGTTCAAGGCCAGCTCCTGAAGCCAAATTGACCCAGAGAATTCGGGCTCCGGCCCCTGATTCGCAGCCGTTACTCGGCTTGACGAGAAGCGTGAATGCGCAGCGCCACGGGAGACTGCTTGAGTGCGCCCCCCGAGTTGCGTGCCTCGTGGACACGCCGCGGAACCTTAAGTCACGCGACGAGAGTGTGGTGTGAGCCGCGGGGCTTGCGGTTTTAATCATCTGTTGTGATGTGCCAGTGATGTGAGTGATGGTTCTGTCCTTCACCCCCCCCCCTCCCAACTTCCCCTCCCCCCAATTATATCCTCTCTGCACTCAAACCCCCTCTCCCCTCCTCGCCACACTTACCCCTGCTGCCCCCTCCCATCCCCTCCTCTCCCCGGGGCTCCCCTCCCCTCCGCTGCGCTCCATACCCCGCTCCCGCGAGCCAGAGGCTCAAGGCCGTGCTGAGCCAGCAGCCTAGCACCATGGGAGCGAGCGTGGCGGAGATGCAGCCGCTGAGCGTGTTCACCGGCGGGCGCCACGAGCTGCCCGGCGCGGGCCCACTGCCCTCGCAGGTCCGGTCCCCTGGTGGCTGCCTCACCCCCTACTTGCCTCCCTCCCTTTTTTATTTTACGATCAGAAGAAACAGAAATATGCCTCGGTCATCATGTCGTTTTTGGGGTTTTTACTTTTTTATGACCTTTTTTTACACCAGAAATATAACATATTTACACGTCTTCTTGTGGAACAGAAATCCCATTGTGTACTGCTGTGTTCACAGACACAAACAAAAAAAAACACCCTCAAAAACTCATTGCTAGATCCCACCGTCAGTCACATTACACGGAGCACCCTCTGTAGCCCAACGTGTCAAAAAGGATGGGACACACCCCCTCCCCCACCCCCCCCCCCGTCAACTGAGCGTAGCGAAATTACAGCCAGAACACTGCTGCCACCCCGCCGCCTGCTGGCTAGTGACATCGTGCCACAGCACCCCACCGCCATATCTGCCCCTCGCTCCTTATTCCTGGACCGTAGTCTGGCAGGTGGACCCCTCACGCAGGAGGACTCCTAATGCAGAGGACCCCCCTAATGCAGAGGACCCCCCTAATGCAGAGGACCCCCCTAATGCAGGAGGGCCCCTAACACAGGAGGGTGGAGATAGCAGAGGAGGCCCGGGGGGGGGGGGGGAGGGGTCAATGTGAATTGTAATTGTCACATTGGTAATGGATCGCAATCACATAGCGATTGTGATGATGATTGTAATATCGGCCAATGGTGCTGTGGAAATTGTAATTAATTGAACCCGGGTCCGCTGCAGGGTGGAGTAGAGTGGGAGTGCGGAGTGGAGTATGGGACTGTGAAGTGGAGTATAGGAATGCAGAGTGGGGTGCAGGAGGTGGGAATTGTCAGTGTAGATTGGGAGAGCAGTGGGAGTTATAGGAAGATGGGGTGGCGTGTGGGAGGGTGAAGTAGCGTGCATTATTGGAGTTGGGAGTAGAGTGCAGGAGTGTGGAGTGGATTGTAGGACGCCGGAGTGTGGAACGGAATGCGGGAGGGTGCAGTGTGCTGTGCATTATTGGGAATGCCGAGTGGTGTACAGTGCGAGAGTATAGAGTGGATATATTTAGAGACTGTGATGGGAGAGGCCCGATGCGAAAGCAAAGTGCTATGCAAGACGATCTCAATAGAGACAAACCAACAGAGATAACACGAATCAAGGGATCACACGCGCACGACACAACGCATCTCTCGGCAGAACCAACTCCCGGCCAACGTGGGCTCCCATTTCGGTGGTCGCATGCCTCCGTTCCCGAAGGGAGCCGCACACTTTAGTCAGGAATGCCCTTGGAAGCTAGATGCGACCTCGTGGGGTCAAAGTGGAAGAGAGACCATTACCTGCTTAGGTCAGCCACCTAGGTTTGGGCCATGTTTTGTAAAAAAAAAAAAAAACTTTTTTTTAAATGATAAGATTTAAGCATGGAATAGCATAACCTAGACAGAGCCTGTGTGTGTTCATCCTTGTTAACACGCACGGTGCCGTGGTGGCGAGATGTTAGCTACCTTGCCTGGTTTATAGGTCATGGGTTCGATCCCGACGCCTACTGTATACTTGGAGTTTACGTATTCTTCCCATGGTCGTGTGGATTTTTCTGTGGGTCCTGCGGTGCAGTCTACGCAGCCAACCAATTGGCTCTTGAAAGTAACTGTGCTGGGCTTGTCCTCGCAATGTCTCGGCAACGGGGTCTGGTCCACCCACCCAGCGGTCCGCGGGTTACACGGCAGTTCGAGTCGGCCCTCTTCCCATTGCCGCCGTTTGCTCTCCCGTTCGCAGATGTCTCCCGGTTACCTCTCGTCGGGACAGCCGTCGCCACAGTCGTCCGTGAGCAGCAGGGGGGGAGGAGGGGGAGGCGGCGGGGGAGGGGGAGGAGGCGGGGGCAGCGGGCGCCGGCGGCGCTCGGCCGACGACGACCCCGACGAGAGGCGGCGCAAGTTCCTGGAGCGGAACCGCGCGGCCGCGACGAGGTGTCGGCTCAAGCGCAAGGCTTGGGTGTTGAACCTCGAACACAAGGCCGAGGAGCTCACGCACACCAACATGCAGCTGCAGGTGGGGACGGTGGGGGTGGGCACCGCACGGTTTGTGTCCCAGGTTTGTTTGGCGAGTCCTTGACTCCCGCGCGACGAACATGTATCTCAAACGTGGGTAAGTGCTACCCCTTGCGTATGGTTAAAATAAAGAGACTGGAATGCGATCTTAGAAGTAGTTCTGTGATACCCACTTCCATGGGCCATTCATGGCTTAACACCAACAGCACGATTGGAGTAAAACTGGGAAAAATATTCATATATTTCGTGAGATTATTCAGTCACATATGCCGTGTGTGTATGTAGTGTGTATATTGTGTGTATGTTTACGTATATGATCGGTTGTGTTGTGGTTGGCACGGTGTGCTACGAACCCAGCGACTCGAGTTTGATTTCTGCTCACGTCCAACACCAGTAACAATTATCTGAACCGGTCCTAGGCCTCCCCTAGGTCGACTCAGCCTCAAATGAGTACCTGGTGCATTGTGTATATCGTCGCTCGGGAGACAAAGACGGCCGGGCGTAGTGCTGGCCACTCACTCCCTCGAGTGCCGTGCCGGCCTTCATAGGTGCTCGCTTAGAGCACTTGCCCTAACAGTTTGTAAAGGCTACCCGGGGGATATTTGTCCTGGTGTCTCAGAGCGAGGTGTCCATACTGAAGAACGAGGTGGCCCAGCTGAAGCAGCTCCTGCTCGCTCACAAGGACTGCCCCGTCACCGCCATGCAGCGAGCCGGACACGGATACGTGTGTGAGTGCACACCCGCAACACCAAAGCAACACCACACCACCACACCAGCACATCATCGCAACACCACCCTGCCACACCACACACTGCCACACCACCACGCAGTTGCACTTTATTTTGCACGCGGTTGGAATTCACTTTGCTCAGTCGGTGAGGTCGTGACGGATTTCTTTTTCTCATTGCTGTTGTTGCTCCATGTCACCTGTACCGTTCCCACTCCATTGAAATGTGCACTGATGCCATTATTGAGGGCGATATTGGCACGTAAAATAAAGATTGATTAACTATCACCACACTACCACAACGCCACCACATCAAGTGGAATTGGCCAAACTCCCGTCACCTCTCATCATTATCCATCAATTAACATAATTCTCCATCACACTCCCATCACCCCCCATCATTCCCTATTACTTTCCATCACCCCACGTCGCCCCCCATCATTACCCCATCATTACCCCATCATTACCCCATCATCCCCGGTTGTCTCACGCTGCCCCGTGCCCCCCCTCGGCCCCTCACAGCTGACCCGGAGGAGGGCCCTGCGGACGACGCCCTCGGCCCCGCGCACCTCCAGCAGCAGCAGGTGATCCAGCACAGCACCCCCACCTCCTCCTCCTCATCCTCCTCCTCGTCGTCATCGTCATCCTCCGCCGCAGCCAACGGCCTCCCGCCGACAACGTCGTCGTCGTCCACGCACGATGCGGCGGCGGCGGCGGCGCAAGCGAGGGCGGCGCTCGGCCTGAGCCTCGCGTCCTCGCGGCCACAGCCGACGAACAGCTGACAGGACGGCGCCACAGCCGCTCCGGGCCGCGCGCCGCCGCCTTCCGTCGCCGCCGATCCTTGAGATTTGAGGAACTCGTCGAGGCCGTGCTCCAAGCCGCTCGCTCACTACGTACGCATTGAAGGGAACTCCGGGGAGGGGGGGGGGGGGGGGAGGGGGACAACGCTGCCTTACTCGAGCGAGCGCAACCGTGTTGGCTCCGCTTGCGCCTTGCGTTCGGTGGACAGACGGGCGATGATGGCCGGGAGGGGCCAGGAGCTCGTCCGAGCCGCGCCCTCCAATTAAGACTGACGGCGGGACCACGTTGCCGTGCGGCGCTCGGACGTGGCGGGGCGGGGTGGTGGCTGTGCCCTCTCTCTCCGCGCAACCCGGCTTCCCCCAGAGCTCCGTGCGAAAATGTAACCACCGTGCGTTTGCTTGCGGGAGCAGCCAAGCAGAGGGAGCATCTCCGTGAAAAAAACAAAAATCCAGCCTCGTAGTGAAAACCTCCGCCCGGGCACGACGACGTCTCTCGGACAGCGCATCGGGAATCCGGGATGGCGGAGGAGCCGCCGTGCCGATAGGGGGGGGGGGGGGGGGGGGGGGGGGGCGTCTCTCCTCGTTTACAGCGGCTCCATCAAGCGCCGCTAGCACGGCGAGTTCCCCCTTGATACCAGCACCCGGAACGGACTCTGGCGGCGAGGACTCAGCTGCTATAATTTGTACGATGCAATCTCCCAAAGAGCTACTCGACCCGCAGGACGCAAGCCCGCGGGCGGGCGGGCGGACGAGCGGGCGGGCGGACGAACGGACAAACCGACTCGGAGCACTTCCGCGGCACGAGGGCTCGGTGCCGAGATTTTAACCGGAAACCGCGCTTGCGTCGGTGCCCGGCAGCACGCGCTTGCGCGCACTGCCGCGTGTACGCGAGCCGAGGGTTAGAGGGGCGAGGCGCCATCGGCCTGCGCCCCCGACGCTCTACGCGAAGAAGCTGTCGCGCACTCTTTGCCTTGTGCCAACCTAGGCGAGTTACGCACGGACCGTTAGCGGTGGACGCAGGCCCAACAGAGGGGTATAGCTCTCGTCTCATAGATGGGGGTTCTTCATCCGCATGACCTGCCACGGTACTTCTTAGTTTGCCATCTTGTTTCCTCCTCCTGCCTTAGCCCCGTTTACAGAGACCGCTGGGTCAATCGACTTCCGGCAACAGTCCTCCCGTTGGCAATGATCGTCGCGCACCCGACGATTGCAGTGCACGTTCCACGTGGAGCGGCGACAGAACTGGTTTCAATTGACATCGAGACGGCGTGGGAAATTAGATATCGCGCACTTTCACACGTACGCACGACATCTCGGTCTTTCATTTGAACCAGCGCTAGTTCACGTGAAATGTGTTTTTCACAATCATCGAGCGCGCTCGCAAAGCTCGTAAACCGCTTGGTGTGTATGTGAACGCGGGTAAAATGGCAAACGTGGAATTGTGTACCGGGGTGGGTTCCAAGGACGGGGGAGTGAGGAGGCCGAGGACACGGCATAGGGACGCGTCTACATGCCACGGTCCCTTGGTCAATCCACTGCTGGATGAGGGCCTCCCCACGTCGTGGGGCAGTTACGTGGCCATCCTTCACCACCCTGGGCAGTGCGGGTTGAAGGCGGGGACCATAGACGTGGAAGCATTGAAGTAAAGTATAATGGATTCTGCTGCGCAGGGCAGGCCTCTTTGGGTTGCGTCTCCCTTGATGCTGCTGATGCAAGCGGCGATGAGGTAGGGGGTGGAACGATGCATCGACTCGCCGACAAACGTCATGATTTTTTTTTATCCCGCTATACCTGCACAAAATTTTTTGTTTTTTTCTTCACGCCGTACTCTCTGTACGTAATGAGTTCATGAACCCCTGCGGCAACAACAACGATCTTACAGAAGTACCTGATTATCAAATCGGGTCGCCGCCTCGAGTCGCAAACGATTCAACGAACCGGTGAAGGGGGATGAATCGTTCCGCCCCTGACCAACGCGTCGCACTCCACCTTCCGTGGTGCGAGGACCGCGGGAGTTTCCGTGGCGGGCGGGGACGGTGGAGCCCCGCGGCCTCCCACGTTTCCCCCCCTCCTCCACTTCCCTGTTAAAACTGCCGACAAACTAACCTCCTGAGCAAGCGTAAAAACGAGGCTGATGCAATGTACATACACGGGTGGCATGTGGGAAACGGCCGTCAGTCTTGTCCGTCCGTCCGGCACGTAGACCAGCTGCAGATTTGTCTCGACACCAAACAGCCAGACACATTCTCTCTTCGACGTGGACCGTCCGTCCGTCCGTGTGTCTGGCGAGCGGAGACGGGCCGGAGATGGCGCAAGGCCGTCTGGCATTGAGACAAGACTCTGGACACACCGTACTGCCCGTCCCCGACCGTTTTGAGGTGTCGAGATGCACTCCCGACACGGACCGTTCGTCTCCACGTCACGCTATCTGCGTGACTTGGAGACAGTCTGGCTGTGGAGATGGACGGACTGTTTTGACGGACCGTTTGTCCGTGTGGCGCGTGGACACACGCTGGGGTTGTTCGTCTCGCGCGTCCCACTAAAAGTCGTCCGTCACACGCGCTGCCCGCATCAGTAATCCTCTGCCTTAAAAGTGCATGCGTTCAGTTTCATTATTTTATTTGAAAATGTTACCATTTTTTCAAGTCCCATCAATATTCAGACACCACTGTCTAATGGCAAATAGGGGTTTTTAATACTAATAATTTAAATTGCTTTGGTTGTTAAGTGTATATGCAGTTATGCTACAAACTGGTTGCAAATAGACGCTGTGTAACGGCAGCTGCTTTAGATTACATGATACGACGCCCATACACACTACTGTATAATTATTTCAAATCCTGACTCTCACGTCGGATTTAACATGTAAATATTGATAACACGCTTTTTTTTAAGTTGTGCCCGGTCTACCGAGTGTGTGCATCTTGGCCAGTCCGGTTGTCCCGCTGTGATGGTGGTATAGGCGGTTAATGGTACCGATGGTGGTGTATGTGGTGGTGTAGACGGTGGTGTGAAGGCGATTTGAGTTGCAGGTGGTAGCGATTGATGTATGAGATGGTAGAGTGCACAGGGTTGGAGGCTGTGAATGGGCGGTGGTGTTGTGGTTGAGTTGGTTGTGGATGTGTTGGTAGCTGGTGGTGCTGATGGGAAGATGTTTTGGAGTAGTAGACAGTAGCAATGGAGATGGTTATAATGGAGGTGGTGGTGACGGTGGTAAGTAATTAAGGTGGTGGTGGTAAGTAACCGGCCTCTGTGGAGGAGGCTGGTGAAGGACTCTACTGGACAACAACGGAGAGCAGAGGAGCGACGCTCACGAGCGGAGTGCCGAGTGGCTAAAATACAGCAAGTTGGCGCAGTAGTGGGTACAGCTGGTGCATCTACCGGTCATCTCAGTCAGCCAACCTATGGCAGCTGGGTCTGTCCCAAGACCTCCTGTCAGCGAGCCTTCGACACTTTACGTGGCCTCAAAGTGCACTTGGCCTGGCACAGGCGTCGTGGTGACGTCACCGTCACTGAGTGGCGAATGGCGGCTATTGATAAATAACCGAGGTGGTAATAAACGGAGGTGGTGTTGATGGTGGTGTTGGTAAGCAACGGAGGTGGTGTTGATGGTGGTGGTGGTAGTAAATAATGGAGGTGTCGGTGGTGGTAAGTAATCGAAGTGGTGGATAACGGAGGTGGTGTTGATGGTGCTGAGAAATCATGTAGGAATAGGCGGCGAAGGTGAGTGACGGATGTCGCGCCGTGCGGCCGGTGCACGGAGCTAGCCGCACGCTGGTCCAGTTTGCCCATCGACGTGAAATGTGCAACCGAGGGGGTCGGCGGACGCCCAAATCCTCACGGCGTCTCGGCTCCTGGCTTCGCTACCCCGGCCGGCGCCGCTTGCCGTCACACGGCTACGCCCATCAGGTTGACGCGCCGGTTGTGGTAGCGCTTGGAAATGTCCCCCTCGATCTGCGAACGACACGCCGCTGTGAGCTGGTGCGACATCGAAGAGTACTCCAAGTGTACAATTTGTGATGCCAGGGTAACAATTGTTTTAGAAATATAACTCCCAAGGTTGGAAGAATATATATATAGTTCAGCTACCCCCAAGGGTACAGATAGAATGTTGACATGGGTGTGTCCCTTGACCACTGGATGCTTCTGGTGTTGCCAACTCTAGCAGTGTTCCAGCAGGCGCCCCAATTGGAGGATTTTTGGGGGGAGGAACTTAGTGCCCTGCCCGACTCGCCACTTACCGTTCCCACTACCCATCATGCATCACTTCTTATCTGCGCCTCTGAGGATGCAGTGGTGGTTTTGAAATCGGCCGCTTTTTTTTATTTTGCCAAAGTGTTGCCCCGTAATGCCCGAGAAAGAGCGGCATGCGACGGCGTTAGCAACGGCGTTGGCGCGTACGGAGCGAACGTACGAGCGCCTGCAGCTCCCGGGAGCGCGCCAGCAGCGCGTCGAGGCTGGGCTGCAGCGCCACCTGCTCCTGCAGCGCCTCCCGCTGACGCTGCACCGCCGCGTCGCGCTTACGCAGCGCCGCCTCCGCCTGACGCAGCTTCTGGTTCAGCGTAGTGGTGAGCCGGTCGACGTAACTGCACGCCCATGCACACGCACGTACACGCGCGCATGAACGCACACATGCACACGCACGTGCGCCGGCACACCGTGAGAACGCTGTAGCCGCGGTCAAACACGACGGGACTGCCCACTCCCCACCGGGTCTTGGAATGTGATAATGGCCGATCGGTCAGTTGAAATGGAAGAGTCCGAAGTGAGAGTTATAGGTTGCCACCCGTTTTCCCAGGATCCTCTTGTGGCAGTCATTCTGGGAAACTTATGTAAGCCTTCTCGGTCACATACAAATTTTTTTTTTACCGGTTGTATAATAATGATGATAAACCACTCAAGACAATTGACTTACACGTATACCTCTCCGCTCTTGTGCTAACGTAAGATTATTTGTATGTACGTGCGTGTCGCTTGAACTTCTTTCATAGCCAACCGTGCTAATCGGAGGTGCATGGGGAAGTACAACAAACTAAACACAACATGCACGTTTTAAAGAAATGTTTTTTTGCTCCAGTGGCTTACTAATATCAGAAGAGCGTTCCAGACGGTCGCAAAAGCGCATGATGCAGTGACCGTCTTTATCCTACGTTTTGTCCACTATCGGCCACTTCCCGCCATGCAAAGCCGACTACAGCCGTGCAATCCCGTTCCACTCCCACCACCCTCCCTACCCCCCCCCACCCCCGGCTTCCAACCTCCCCCCCCACCACCACCCGGTGGTACCTCACCGCGGTGACGCGTGGATCATGAAGAGCTGGCGCATCTTGAGCGAGGTGAGGCGCTGAGTGAGCGCCCGCGTCTCGCCCAGCGCGACCTCCACGTCACGCCGCGACTGCTCCTGCAGCACGAGCGGCGCCGCCTCGAACTGGTTGATGGACAGAACGTCAGCCTCCTCGCTCAGCTCCGCCAGGCGCTGGACAAGGAAAGCCTCCAGCTGGGGCGGAGGGGGGGATAAGCTAAAGCTATGAGCTGTTTTTTTTATTTTATCAGGTAAGGCCCACTGAGCTGTGTAGCTCTTTTTCAGAAGCGAACCGGCTATCGCAAACGATAGCTCAACGAGGTGGCTTATTGTCACGTGGAAACGTTTAGCGGCCAAATACTCTGAACTCGTGATGTCGATTCTAAACGTGGAGGGAAAAACCGGAGGACCCGGAGGAAATTCCACGCGACCACGGGGAGAGACAGAGAGACACGCAAACTCGAAATATACAGGCTTTGGGATTGAACCCACGACCTGCATAACCTCCTGCATACCGGGCAAGGGAGATAACATCTGGCCACCACGGTTCAATGGGTGAGAGGCAGGGGATCGGTGAGGAGGAGCGATGGGGTGAGGGGGTGAGGGGGAGGGCAAGGGAGGGAGATGATGGAAGGTGGGGGTGAGATGGAGTGCTGGGGAGGTGTACCGCCTCCCCACTCCCGTTGGGGACTGAGCCGGACTGCGATTGAGGCTCATGGCCAGAGCCCCTGTGCTGCTTGTGGGACAGAACTGGGCCACTGTTGCTGGGTTCCCAGTGGTAGTAAAGCCAAGCAAGTTAGGAAAAAATCACGCAGAATTATTTACTTGGCATCGTGGAAGCCAACGGGCGGCTGTCACGGCAAATCGCGTCCACATATTTGCTCCATTTCCTCCTCCACTCTTGATTTGTTTCTCCCAATGTTTTAAGGAAACCGTTTGTTTAATGTGGCCGGTGTTCAAGGGGGAACGCTGGGCTCATGTTGGGTCGTCTTCACGAGAGTTGCAGTGCCTCCCACGTTACCGCTGGACGAACGGATAGGTCTCGTGCAAAGATACTTGAAACCTAAGTTGGAAAGTGTTCATAAAAATAAACTATAAACTTTCCATTTCATCAGTTAAAGCCCATTTCGATTTAAAGCTTTCGTGACTGCAAGGATTCATCTTCTTTGGTTCTTTCGGTAAAGTCACGTAGAATGAGAATAAAATAATAAATTGATAAAATAAAATAATAATATTCTCATTTTATTTTATCAATTTATTATTTTATTCTCATTCTACGTGACTTTACCGAAAGAACCAAAGAAGAGGACAAAGTTAAAGCCCAGTTTAACGCGTCGGCTTTCGCGACCAATATATAGCTATATAGCTCTTTTGCAGATGCGACCTGGCCACAGATGATAGCTCAACGAAGTGGGGGCTCATCATGTGGAAATTTATAGCAGCCCAATAATCTAAATGCGTGATGTTGATTCTAAATGTGGAGGGAAAAACCGGAGGAGGTGGAGAGGAGACACGCAGACTCAAAATATACAGCAGCAGCAGGCATCAGGGGTCGGGCTGGAACCCACGACCTCCTGCATACCAGGCGAGGTAGTTAACGTCTCACCACCGTGGCGTCCCTTTGTGCGGGGCGGGAGGGGGTGGGGGTGTAAAGGAGGGGGGTGTAAAGGAGGGGGGTGTAGGGGAGAGGGGGTAGGGGAGAGAGGGTAGGGGAGGGGGGAGGGGAGGGGGTAGGGGAGGGGGTACGTGCGGGCAAGGGATGGGTGAGCACCTCCATGAGCTCGTCGATGAACTGGTTCCGCGTTTCCAGGTTTTCCAGCACCGTGAGGGCATCTGTACCGTGAGCCTCGCCCGCTCCTGAACCCACAGACACGGAACCAGTGACGCGGTGTGGCGGTGGTGTCATACGGTGTGTGGTGGTGTCATACGGTGTGTGGTGGTGTGACACGGTTTGTGGTGGTGTGACACGGTGGTGTGATGCGGTGGGATGCAGTGGTGTGTGGTGGTGTGATGCGGTGGTGTGCTGTGCTCTGCGGTGCCGTGTGTGAGTGCCGGCCGGCTGTGTCGCGGTGACAGCATATCCACCGACCATCTGCTTGGCTGCCTGGGTCGCACTCTTTCCCGGCGTCCACAACCTCGATCGTCCAAGCGCCATCGCCACCACCGTCACCACCGGCGCCGGCATCCTGCGTCGCCACGGGCAACGGAGTCGCGCACCGTGACGCATGCAAGGGGTGAAAGGGAGCGCAGACAGCAAGTGGATGAGTGTGTGAGGCGGGCGCAGGTGGCGTGTGGTTGTGGGTAATGTGCGGTGAGCGGTTGAAGCGACCGTGTGTGGCGAGTGGACACGTGCCCCTCACCCCAGTGGTTATCATGTAAGGTGAACGAGCGTTGGTGGTGAGCGGCGAGTCGCCACCAATGCTCGTCCAAGCAGTCAGCACCGACGCTCACCTCGCCGCCTCCCTCCAGGCTGATTTCCCAGTCGATGCCCTCCGCCTCCTCGCCACCGGGCTGTGCGTCACCCTCACCACCACCGTTCCTCGCGTCCACCGGCGTCTCCGCGGTGAAGTCGCCAAAATCTATTCCCCCGGCCTCCTCCTTGGCGCCGCGGAAAAATCGAAGTGAAAGTCACGATCGTCCGAGGCGATGGCTCACCAGGGTGAGCGCGGGTTACAGCTCGCCCAGCGAGAAGATGCAGCGATGAAATTGGCTCGAGGCACAGGCGGCGAGGCGGACCGCTACACCGCAGGGTTGTGAAAGCGGGAAATGTCTCGGGGAGGCCTCCATCCAACAGCGGATTGATCGTGGCTGCTGCTGCTGCTGATGATGATGATGATGCAGCGGGTAACGCTCACCCGGTGAGTGATGGACACTCGCCCGACGAGTGGGGTAACGCTAACCTGCTTGGCTGGTGAGGAGAGGTCCGCTTTGTCCGCGGGGACTGTGCCGGGGTGCAGGGAGGAAGGGAGCTTCCCCGTGCGCCACTCGTGCACCGTTGTGTTCCCCTTGTGCTGCACGTGTCTCAGCAGCGGCAGCACCTTGTCCCGGTCACTGACGAGGCACACGGACGCGCACATAAATCCTCTGTATAGCCTTCACAGACTGTTGGGGCAAGTGCTGTTAGTGAATGCCGATTAAGGCTGGCACGGCACGCGAGGGGGTGGGTGGCCAGCACAAAGCCCGGCTGCCTTTGTCTCCCGAGTGGTGATGTTTACGCATGCACCAGGGTACTCATTTGAGGCTGAGTAGACCTAGGGAGAGTCCAGGACCGGTTCAGATAATCGTCGGGCATGAGCGGGATTTGACCTCGGGTCACCAGTTCTGTAGCGCAGCGCGCTAACCAATGCGCCACCGCTCCCCAACGTCGAATCGCACGGACCCACGCACACAAATGCACGCGCGTGCCGTGTCTCACCCCTCGCACACGAACTCCACGCACGCCTGGTAGAGCGCCACGTGCTGGGCGAGCTGCGCCGACGCCGACGCCACTTCGCTCAGCGTGCCCGGCAGCTCCCGCAGCAGCGCCAGCAGCTCGTCACGCACGCTGTCTCCCTGCGGCACAAACGCCATCGCCACCGCATACGGGCAATCGCCACCGCCAGACACGAGCAATCAATCGCCACCACCACACGGCATCTCGGTTACCGAGATGCCGTGCTGGCGCAGAGCGGTGCCGGCGAGTTACCGAGATGCCGTGCTGGTGCGGTGTGGTGCCGGCGAGTTACCGAGATGCCGTGCTGGTGCGGAGCGCTGCCGGCGAGTTACCGAGATGCCATGCTGGCGCGGAGCGGTGCCGGCGAGTTACCGAGATGCAGTGCTGGTGCGGTGTGGTGCCGGCGAGTTACCGAGATGCCGTGCTGGCGCGGAGCGGTGCCGGCGAGTTACCGAGATGCAGTGCTGGTGCGGTGTGGTGCCGGCGAGTTACCGAGATGCCATGCTGGCGCGGAGCGGTGCCGGCGAGTTACCGAGATGCCGTGCTGGTGCGGTGCGCTGCTGGCGAGTTACCGAGATGCCGTGCTGGTGCGGTGCGCTGCTGGTGAGTTACCGAGATGCCGTGCTGGCGCGGTGTGGTGCCGGCGAGTTACCGAGATGCCGTGCTGGCGGCATGCCACGTAGAAGCCCTCGCGCAGCTCCGCCGCCGCGTTGGCGCACTCGGCCTCCCGCCGTGACATCTCCTGCTGCGTGGTGGCGCACTTGGCCATCTGTCGGCGCAGCGCGGGCGCCTCGTACAGCACGCTGCGCGCCAGCAGGTTCGCCAGCTCCGCTGCCACGCGCACGCACGGCACGCACGGCCGAGGGTTGAACCGCGTGACCGATGGCACGCGGTGTGACGCGCTTCGCCCTCGCCGTTGAGGGATCGACCGTCCCGTTGGGCGAGGCGTGACGCTAGGAGGGATGATGGCTGGTGGTCCCGAGGAGGGAACGGGCACGGGGGGGGGGGGGGCACGGGGGGGGGGGCACGGGGGGGGGCACGGGGGGGGGGGCACGGGGGGGGGGGGGCACGTACCGCGTAGACGGAGCGATGAAATCGGCTCGTGCGCAGGAGCTCAACGGATTGTCACGTCGCGAGACGGTTACAGATGGAGACGGATTGCGGAGGCCTGCATCTAGCAGTGGAGCGATCACGGCCAATGATGATAGGATTTGTACTGTATCAGATTTGCGATTCCAGTGTCGAGTGTTGCGCCCGTCACCCGGACGTTAGCGTCCGTCCACGCACAATACGAACCTAGATAGACATTGTCCTTCTCGTACATCGACACGATGTCTTGCCAGTCCTGGAACAAAAAGAGGGGGTACAATTGTTCTGGAGGTTTGGAATATTTCGCCGCCCACAATCGACTCGCAACACCTCAGAACCGAATTGAAACACGGTGGGAAGCTACTGAGATTCAAACTCGGGTCCTCGGAGTCACCCGCTCAACCTTTAGTTCTCCTTGATTACCGGACCGGAATTTGAACATCTCATTTGAACGGAGGACAAATGTAATCCATCCGTACACGCATCAGGATTCGAGACGCTTATTGCGAGCGTCAAGACCGACTTTAATTCGTGAACGTTTGCACGCGTGACCCTTAGAAAATGAACGACACGTGACTTTGAGCTGATGAATGGCCAGGCCTCCCCTCTGACCTTCATCCGCTGTGAGGAGTATCGCCCGAAGATGTTCTTGCTGGAGGCCTCGGTGGAGCGCAGGATTTCCACGATGCGCAGGCAGTGGAAGTATTGTATGTCTGGTTGCAAAGCATCACGTAACCACAGCAACCAGTAATCGTGGCAACCAGTACCATCCCGTATCCAGAGAAACAAGCTCCTGACACGCAGCATGCATAGTAACCGAGGGTAACCGAAGACTGTCGCACTAAACTCGATAACTGCAGCATCCTGTAACTATAGCAACAAGCTCTGATCCACAGCATCCATTAACAGAGGGTAACCATTTCAAAGACATATGATACAAAGCATCCCGTAACCACAACAATCAGTAACCACAGCATCGCATAACCACAGCAATCACAGCATCCAGTTTTCATAGGCTAGACTTTCACATTAACCCTGTATGTGCATGCCAGTAGCATCGTCTACTGAAACACAGATCGGGTCTGGAATTGAGGCCAGAATGCCTGCTACATCTGAGTCTCAAGACGAAGTCTCGGCTCTACCCGTTTGGTTTGTACAGGTGGGGGCAGGTGACTCGAGGTGGCATATCCAGGTGAGGTGTGCAGGTGAGAAAGCGGAGGCGAGATGTAAACGTGAGAATGCGTGCGTACAGCGTGCAGTGGGGTACAGGTGTAATGTCTGTGTTGGTGATGTCAGTGCGTGAGTGTGGTGCACAGGCGACTGTAGGTGAGTTGATCGCGGTATGTGTTTGAAGTACAGGTGAGTAGGGTGTGTGAGCACGGCGAGTTTGGTGTACAGGTGAGTGGTGAGTACAGGTGAGGGCGTGCGAGTACGGTGAGTTTTGGAGTTCAGGTGAGTACAGTGAGTTTGGTGGACAGGTGATTGGTGAGTACAGGTTAGTCCGGTGAGCTTAGAGCGTACAGGTGAGGACGTGCGAGTACGGTGAGCTTGGAGTTCTGGTGAGTACAAGTGAGTGCGGTGCGTGTGATTACGTGTGCCGCTCAGCAGGCTGCGGATGTCCGGGTGCTCCGGCATGTCCCGCATGGCCGCCGCGATCCTCTCCCGAATGGCGCCAACTGCGCCCTGCCAACGCAGCCCGCAGTGACGGCGGTCGACCAGCCAGTCTGTCTCACACGGGGGACACGGGGACACCGGGCAGTCTGTCTCACACGGGGGACACGGGGACACGGGGGTACCGGCCAGTCTGTCTCACACGGGGGACACGGGGACAGCGGCCAGTCTGTATCATACGGGGGACACGGGGACAAGGGGGTACCGGGCAGTCTGTCTCACACGGGGGACGCGGGGACACGGGGACACGGGGACATCGGGCAGTCTGTCTCACACGGCGGACACGGGGACAAGGGGGTACCGGGCAGTCTGTCTCACACGGGGGACACGGGGACAAGGGGGTACCGGGCAGTCTGTCTCACACGGGGGACACGGGGACAAGGGGGGTACCGGCCAGTCTGTCTCACACGGGGGACACGGGGACAAGGGGGTACCGGCCAGTCTGTCTCACACGGGGACAAGGGGGTACCGGCCAGTCTGTCTCACACGGGGGACACGGGGACAAGGGGGTACCGGTCAGTCTGTCTCACACGGGGGACACGGGGACAAGGGGACACCGGCCAGTCTGTCTCACACGGGGGACACGGGGACAAGGGGGTACCGGGCAGTCTGTCTCACACGGGGGACACGGGGACAAGGGGGTACCAGCCAGTCTGTCTCACACGGGGGACACGGGGACAAGGGGGTACCGGGCAGTCTGTCTCACACGGGGAACACGGGGACAAGGGGACACCGGCCAGTCTGCCTCACACGGGGGACACGGGGACAAGGGGGTACCGGGCAGTCTGTCTCACACGGGGGACACGGGGACAAGGGGGTACCAGCCAGTCTGTCTCACACGGGGGACACGGGGACATCGGCCAGTCTGTCTCACACGGGGGACACGGGGACAAGAGATACCAGCCGGTCTGTCTCACACGGGGGACACGGGGACAAGGGGGTACCGGGCAGTCTGTCTCACACGGGGACAAGGAGGTACCAGCCTGCCTGTATCGCCCATGATTGTGCTGGACACACTACGCAACTATACCATCCAACCGGCATTGTTGTTTCACCTTGGGCAGACTGGGAGATGGGGAAGGGGTGGGGTGGGCAATATCGGGTGTAGACTCACCCAGAAGTTTGCTCGTGTGGATGTCTATCGGGATGTTCTTGTACTGGTCCTGTCGACACAAGACGGACAGAAGCACACAGACACAGCGCGTTGGCATGTAATCCACACGGAGATAACAACACTTTGACACGCACGCACCACAACACTGACGTACACATACACAAACGACACACACAACGGTTTTGACATACACAATGCACACACACGCAACACAAAGACACTGACACACACACACACATGAACCACACACAAAGCAATTCACAGACACACCGCAAACAAACACGGGACAAACGCACAACACTTAAATCATACACAACACATCGATACTTGGACACAGCACGCATAAACTACAACACAACATGGACACACAACACACACAACATGGACACACAACACACACAACATGGACACACAACACACAACATGGACACACAACACACACAACATGGACACACAACACACACAACATGGACACACAACATGGACACACAACACACACAACATGGACACACAACACACACAACATGGACACACAACACACACAACATGGACACACAACACACACAACATGGACACACAACACACACATGGACACACAACACACAACATGGACACACAACACACACAACATAGACACACAACACACACAACATGGACACACAACATGGACACACAACATGGACACACAGCACACAACATGGACACACAACATGGACACACAACACACACAACATGGACACACAACATGGACACACAACATGGACACACAACACACACAACATGGACACACAGCACACAACATGGACACACAACACACACAACATGGACACACAACACACACAACATATGGACGCAAAGACACAACGCTAAAAAAAACCACGTCAAAACACTGACATGCACAACGCATTGATACATCGACACAACACGCATGCGTTAACTACACATTGATACACAACACACAATCAACACACACAACACAGAGAAACAAAGATCCCCCGTACAGCCTTAACATACTGTTAGGGAAAGTGTTGTTAGCAAGCACCACCTATGAAGGCCGGCAATGTGGAACACGAGGGGGTGGGTGGCCAACACCACGCCCGGTCGCCTTTGTCTCCCCAGTGGCGATGTTTACTACACAGGTACTCATTTGAGGCTGAGTCGACCTCGGGGACGCCCAGGCCCGGTTCAGATGGATAATCGTCACTGATGTTGGTCGTTCGTAGCGCTAACCGCTGCGCCACCGCTCCCCTCGGAGAGACGACATGGAAGCCACAGCACACACGACACCTCAACAGCTTTGACACGAGCCACGGTGTTGGTGGTAATGTCAGGAATGATGGTGAGGGTGATGATGATGGTGATGATGGTGATACAGCGATGCCAATGAACCAACCTCCATAATCGCGGCAGCAGCAGCTTGTATTCCTCTTGTGTGTGCGTTAGGTGTACGTATTGTCTAAGCTATAATTGTGCTAACGTTATGTGCATCGAGTCTAGGTATGTGATTAATTCTCTATAATGTACGTACTGAGTATATTGTGTGTGATGGGTGTGTGGTACCAGAGTATTAGTCGTGCTGATCTATATTACGCGTGTTGTCAATCTTGTAGGCGTTTTATGTATTTTGCGTATTTACGTATGTTACGTGTGCCGTATTGTTACCCGTGTGTACAGTATGATGTGCTAAGTATATTCATTGGAGTAGCGTGTGCATGATATGTTTCCTGCGCTTATTATGTATTGCACACATGTATATTATAATACATAATAATATAACGCGTCTTGTGTGAGAGAGCTGTGGTCTGGCAGGCTACACACGTGAACACATTGACGTGGCCTACGGGATACTCGTGTGGAATTCTCAACTAGCTCTGAGGGCAGAAATATTTACCGAATAAATTTGAAAGCTAACGCGAAAGTGCCCCCGGAGCGTTTCTGAACCGCAAAGGTTAATGAACACGCCCCCCCATGGACCCGGTAGTGACGTCACGACACCCTCTGAACAAACACGTGCTTTGATCTTTCGTGGTCATTTTGTCAAACGTGGTAAAATCCCATACCAGTCAAGCCCTTATCAATGACTACCTTATTCATACCCGTCAAGCCCGTATCAGTGTCTACCTTATTCATATCTGTCAACCCCGTATCAGTGTCTACCTTATTCATACCTGTCAACCCCGTATCAGTGACTACCTTATTCATACCCGTCAAGCCCGTATCAGTGTCTACCTTATTCATACCCGTCAAGCCCTTATCAGTGACTACCTTATTCATACCTGTCAACCCCGTATCAGTGTCTACCTTATTCATACCTGTCAACCCCGTATCAGTGACTACCTTATTCATACCCTGTCAACCCCGTATCAGTGACTACCTTATTCATACCTGTCAACCCCGTTTCAGTGACTACCTTATTCATACCTGTCAACCCCGTATCAGTGTCTACCTTATTCATACCTGTCAACCCCGTATCAGTGACTACCTTATTCATACCTGTCAACCCCGTATCAGTGTCTACCTTATTCATACCTGTCAACCCCGTATCAGTGACTACCTTATTCATACCCTGTCAACCCCTTATCAGTGTGTACCTTATTCATACCTGTCAACCCCGTATCAGTGTCTACCTTATTCATACCCGTCAAACCCTTATCAGTGTCTACCTTATTCATACCTGTCAACCCCTTATCAGTATCTACCTTATTCATACCTGTCAACCCCTTATCAGTGTCTACCTTATTCATGCCTGTCAAACCCTTAACAGTGTTTACTTTATTCATACCCTGTCAACCCCGTATCAGTGACTACCTTATTCAGACCTGTCAACCACTTATCAGTGACTACCTTATTCATACCTGTCAACCACTTTTCAGTGACTACCTTATATTCTTGGTTCTTTCGGTAAAGTCACGGTGAAGGGAAACAATAAAATAATAAAATATATATAAAACAAAATTCTCACGACGTTTCGACTGTAGCACAAACAGTCATCATCAGGTGTGAAAACCAACGGCAAGAAACATTTGAAAGAAGTGGCGGTTTGTATTTATTTATTTTTAAACGTTAGCACCACGGATGGCGATTTGACAGTTTGTTTAGATGGACGAGTCCATCTATGTTCGGAAAAGAGGAGGGGGTAGACGAAAATGTAATGTATGTTGTCTGAAAGCCACCGTAAGCGTGAACAATCAACCGAGAAGATGGATTCTGGCTTAGCAATCATTGGAAGGATTTGATAAACCATTTCCGGTCTTAATTGATTGTTCACGCCTACGGTGGCTTTCAGACAGCATACATTAAATTTTCGTCTCCCCCCTCCTCTTTTCCGAACATAGATGGACTCGTCCATCTAAACAAACTGTCAAATCGCCATCCGTGGTGCTAACGTTTAAAAATAAATAAATACAAACCGCCACTTCTTTCAAATGTTTCTTACCGTTGGTTTTCACACCTGATGATGACTGTTTGTGTTACAGTCGAAACGTCGTGAGAATTGTATTGTTTTATATATTTAATTATTTTATTGTTTCCCTTCAACGTGACTTTACCGAAAGAACCAAGAATATGAATCACTGCAGTCACGAAATCTTTAAATCAGTGACTACCTTATTCATACCTGTCAACCCCTTATCAGTGTCTACCTTATTACAGACCAATTCAGACCTTATTGGTCACCCCGTGCCCCTTATAAATCTCAACATTCATCCTACAATGCCCCATCACAAGGGAGAAACACAAACAAATCGACTAACAAAAATGTTTCTCCCGTATTGAAACGGCTGTTCGCCGTATGGACCTAAAAACGCAATTTCCCAGTACAAGAATACAGGGTAAAACCGTATGGGTTAACAGCTATGCAATCCACTGCTGGATGAATGCCTCCCTAAGCCCTCTCGTTGTCTCGCCGTTGTAACTTAATCTTGCAGCTCTTGCCAGCCAAATGGGTTAGGAGACGGCGTCTTGGTTGGAAGGGGGTATTGTGATTAATGGCTGTTGAGGGCGAGATGCAATGACGGGAGCGACTGCCGAACGATGGTTGACGCGTCGAGTCGAGGAGATGGAGCGACGTGGATTATTACATCGCAGGCGTGTGAAGGCCGTGGATTAGATCCACGTCTCCCGGGATGCGTCCCACCTCGTCAGATGATTTTGTGGTCGGATGGGAGATCCGCCATGCGTAACAAAGTTGTTGCAGGCTACGTGGTTGGAGCGGCAGAGGCTAACTAAAGCGCAAAATCTATTGTACTGCGTAGGATGCTCTGCACGTTCCCCAATCCGTACTGACCAGCCTTGTGAAGTTTATTAAAATAGCCTCACAGACCCACACAGCGTGGGGAGGCCCTCATCTAGCAGCGGATAGAGATGAGGACTGTGCACGTACAAATACATAGCTGTCAACCCACACGGTTTATTCTCGTCCAGGAACATTGAGTTCTGAGATCCATACGGCGTACAGCTGTTAAAATCCGGGCAAAAACAAAATTTGTCTATTTTTTGTGTTTCTACCCAGTGACAGGACTTGGTGGGGTGAACGTTGAGATTTATAAGAGCTTCGGGTGACCACTTAGGTCTGAATTGGTCTGATAAGGTCGGCAATAATAACGGGTTGATAGGTATGCAAAGAAAACAACATAATTACAAAATTCGAAGACACTTTAAAGAACATGAAATTAAAATAACCCTAAAAACATTAATTGTAATAATCTTTCAAAGAACATTTTTTTTACCCAAGGTCCTCTGCCAGATATTCTTGTAAAACATCTTACAGTTCAATGTTTCCTCTCGGCGTTTCATATTTCATCATGGCACCTCCTTTGCCAGTACCTTTTTCTGGTAACAAAACAGGTGTGAAGATCATTAGACCTCCTTTGCCAGTACCAAAATATAATAATAGGGTTTTCCCCTTTTTCTGGCAAAAAACTGAAACATTTTTACAAGGATTCATGTCTGCATTAACCACAATACTTGCAGTCAAATGCAAACAAAAACACTGATAATACTTGCATTGTATATATTATGATATGCATTGTATATATTAGCTGGGGTCAAGTTAGGAGTCAGCTGTATGCCATTGGCGTCCTCTGGTCGAGCACCAATTGAGTCGAGGCTCAAAAGAAAGCCGTCCCTTGGTGTGGACCAATCAGTTTCAAGGACAATGCATCATATTATCATAGTGTGTTTTTGTTTGCATTTGACTGCAAGTATTGTGGTTAATGCAGACATGAATCCTTGTAAAAAGGTTTCAGTTTTGTTGCCAGAAAAAAGGGGAAAACCCCTATTATTATAGGTGTTAAGATGTTAAAACACCAAACTGAAACCTTTTACAAGGAATCATGTGCAGCCTGGTTCTTAATCGGAGTGAGTGTACTGGCAGTCTATAATGTAGACTTATTATTGGTTCTTTAAGTAATAAAAAATTAAATTAAACACCGAGGTTAAGAACCAGGCTACAGTCTAAATCAGTGTTTTTGTGTTTTTTTATGATTTTAATTATGTTTATTCACTTTATTTTTTATTCTTATTTTTCTATCTACGTGACTTTACCAAAATAACCAAAGAATAAGAATTCCTGCAGTCACGAAAGTTTTAAGTAAAAACAACACATTCATTTATTAAAACACAAGAAAATAAAGCGTTTGAACCCGCAGGAATCTGATCAATTACCTTGACCTCTAACTTGACCCCACAAACAGGGCCACCCCCTAACTTGACCCACAAACAGGGTCACCCCCTAACTTGACCCCACAAACAGGGTCACCCCCTAACTTGACCCCACACAACAGGGCCACCCCTAACTTGACCCCACAAACAGGGCCACCCCCTAACCTGACCCCACAAACAGGGCCACCCCTAACTTGGACCCCACAAACAGGGCCACCCCCTAACTTGACCCCACAAACAGGGCCACCCCCTAACTGACCCCACAAACAGGGCCACCCCCTAACTTGACCCACAAACAGGGCCACCCCCTAACTTGACACCACAACAGGGGCCACCCCCTAACTTGGACCCCACAAACAGGGCCACCCCCTAACTTGACCCCACAAAACAGGGCCACCCCCTAACTTGACCCCACAAACAGGGACACCCCCTAACTTGACCCCACAAACAGGGCCACCCCCTAACTTGACCCCACAAACAGGGCCACCCCTAACTTGACCCCACAACAGGGCCACCCCCTAACTTGACCCCACAAACAGGGCCACCCCCTAACGTGACCCCACAAACAGGGGCCACCCCCTAACTTGACCCCACAAACAGGGCCACCCCCTAACTTGACCCCCACAAACAGGGCCACCCCCTAACTTGGACCCCACAAACAGGGCCACCCCCTAACTTGACCCCACAAACAGGAGGGCCACACCCTAACTTGACCCCACACAAACAGGGCCACCCCTAACTTGACCCCACAAACAGGGCCACCCCTAACTTGACCCCACAAACAGGGACCACACCCTAACTTGACCCCACAAACAGGGCCACCCCCTAACTGTGACCCCACAAACAGGGCCACCCCCTAACTTGACCCCACAAACAGGGCCACCCCCTAAACTTGACCCCACAAACAGGGCCACCCCCTAACTTGACCCACAAACAGGGCCACCCCCTAACTTGACCCACACAAACAGGGCCACCCCCAGTAACTTGACCCACAAACAGGGCCACCCCCTAAACTTGACCCCACAAACAGGGGCCACCCTAACGTGACCCCACAAACATGGCACCCCCTAACTTGACCCCACAAACAGGGCACCCCCTAACTTGACCCCACAAAACAGGGCCACCCCCTAACTTGACCCCACAAACAGGGCCAACCCCCTAACTTTACCCACCAAAACAGGGCCACCCCCTAACCTGACCCCACAAACAGGGC